CGCACATAGGATAACAAATTCGTACGGGTATCACAGAGTTGACAAGTCAACTCTATTCTTTCTCGATTTATTTTAATCTTTAAGATCCTTAATTACATGTATGTATATATTCTATTCAAATATAGAAAAATATGGTAGAAAATTTACTGTGACACCATTCTTTTAATTCACTTTGAATTAAGCATGTTCTATAACGTCATATTTTTATATGATCTTCACCTTTTTATATGATCTTTTATATGATCTTAATTAACTTAAACTTGAAATATATGTATGAAAGTTATAAAAAGTTAATTACTTCTTAAATTATAAATATGAATGCATACTTACATACTTTAATTGTTTCTTGCTAAATTTATTATATCAGCGATTCTTACCCAAAATTCCGTGAGTCATGGTCCAAAAAATGTTAATTACATAAACTTGAATTTTTATTTTCTCTTTGTCTTTGTCTATATAAATCATTATTTACTTATGTTACTCACGAAAATAATATTTTCTTATCAATTCCATAAAATAGTAAAATTGTATGTATTAACGCCTAAAATTGTAGTTCAATTATAGAACAATTAATTGAATGTATGTGATAAGCAATTCGTTACCGTACAATTCCAAAAAAACCTTATTTTAAAACAACTTTTCAGTTAAAGTTTTAAGGTTATCAAACTTTAAAGAAAATAATTCAGAAGTATTTTTGCGTAACTCTCACTTACTATAATTTTTAAATAAGTAAATATCACATTGAAAATGGTTTCGTTAAACGAATTTGAGGCAATTTTAAAATTTAATGTTATTAAATTGCAAATATTTTGTAGTTCTACATCTAAATTTTTTGATAACGTTTAAATATTTGATAAATTGTGATTATTCGATTAAATCTCGTTAGGATAATTACTGCTCACATTTAAGAAAACCTTAAAGACAAAAAATAATAAATTTATGATTTGGATATTTTTCTTTTATCGAATCAAAAGCAATTAGTCATTTGAAAAAAAAAACAATTTCTACCCAAATATGTCATTGCACCTGATAATAAAGTAAACAAAATCACACAGAATATATTTGTATGTGAAGACTTAAATAATAGGCAATTAAATAGATACGCTCATCATAATGAATGATGAATTATATGACTCATAAATTTTGTGAAAATAAAAAAACGACAAAACCACTTAAATAACAATTTTATTAAATCTAATATTTTCAATTTTTTTAAGAATGTCAAAAACTAAGTATAATAAATTAACTTGTATGTTTAATTGAACTTGTATGTTTAATTGTGTATGCGTTTGTTTAAAACAGAATGGAATTTAATTATGTGATTTTCAAAATTTTTGCAATTGACTTAATTGCATTGTTTTGGAAACATCAATTGATTATTCCATAAAATAAAACGCTGAGCTGTGATGAAGTAGTGGTTTGCTGGTTTTTATAGACGCTTGCACATATATACATTTGTATCATTATCGACTTTTTGCACTTTTCCAACAAATTTTTTGAAAAAAGTGCTAATTAGCTTCACTCTGTCCGCCCGTCCGTCCGTCCATCCGTCCATCCGTCCATCCGCCCGTCCGTCCGTCCGTCTGTGGACACTTTTTTTGTTAACAAAACTTTTACAACCTTGAAGATAGAAAGCTGAAATTTAATACGTACATAGATCTTTACTAAAAACTTATTTCCGTAGAACAAAATTTTTACCTATCTCCCCACCCCTAGAAGTTATACCCCATCCATCTCTACCCCCTCTCAAGTTATCGCCTCTTGAAATTTGTAAAAATTGAATTTTTGACACCTTATATTTTCGAAACCGCAACCTTTTTAAAATTTCTATAAACGCAAAAAGCTATCGGTAAATTCCATGACATTAAAAAATATAATTATTTTTCTTAACTCACACAATTAACCCTTAAAATCGAGCATTATGTTAAACCCACTTTTTATTAATTTTTGCTTTATTTCAAAGACTGAATCGTTCATCCTAAATATATGCAATCCTAGAAATAGTATCGTATATGAATGAAAATAGTTATAATAGTGTGGTAGATATACATAGACTGTATTTAAAAGCAGAATTTTCACTTGTTGAAGGGAAAAGTGCTACAATACAAACCATTGGTTTGACGCAACTTTATTAATATTTATTTAAATTTGCGTATCAATTTTTAACTAGCAGAATTTTCATATAAAATCATGTTCCACTCCCAAAACCAAACCTGACTACTGTTTGTGTCGCTTGGAGTTTCATATAAATGTGTATAAATAATTTCAGGACTGATTCTTTGATCCATTTCCAGCAAAATATTGTTGTTATCGGACTTTTCCTGCATATAAATAAATGCTTATACTTCGAAACTATATACAACATAAAGTTACCATAAGGAGCTTATTTTACAGATCATTAATGATTCTTTATTTTTGAACTTACAATTAAGTTGATTTGAATCATAGTTTTCGAGATACATCTCCTTAAGATCAGAATTTTTGTTTTTTATTATCTTTTTTTTTTTTATATTTTTCGATGCGCTATGATGAGATGTAAAAGTTAATCCATATAATATTTTCCTCAATCTCCCATAGTTTTTCCAGTGCAACGTCTTAAATGTGCTCAAAAAATATGCGAACATGCGAATCAACTCTGACATTATTTGCCACCCTATGTGAAACACCCTGTGGTTACATGTATATTAAAAAACACATCCTTCATTTTTAAAAGTTTTTCAAAAAGTATATATGTATGTATATATGTAGTTAATCGAAGCTTGAAATATTAATAAAGACTTAATTACGGGCCATGTAATTCCCCTCATTATTTTTCTACTTCCGTCCTACTTCAAATACTATACTCCTCATTTACATCCTCGTTAATTTTATACTGCTTATGCATGCATTTATTGTAAGTGCAATTTAACACTTTAAATTTGCTCAATGTGCAAGCGATTTGTAAATTATGTAATAAATTTTCAAATTAAAGTTTTTATGTATGTATATGCTTTCATATGATTGTAGATCCATGTATATTATGTATATATCCAAGCAATCATTCATTCTTGAAAAAAAAAACTAAATAATTTATTTGAAAAAATCGGAGCATAAATGCGAAATTTAAAATTTTTGCATTAGCATTTTTTTGCTTAAAAAATATTTTTTTTTTGGCTTTGTGGCCGAAAGAACGTCACTTATTTAACCACAGATTAATCATTATGATCTTTTATCGATTTACTTTTAGGCAATATGCATATGTAACGTGTTCAAATTTGTTTTAGGTTTGAATTTAATACAATGGCCAGCTATTGTAATCTCTTGCAATAAAAATTTTTGTGAAATTTCAACAATAAAACCATGAAATTTCAATATATTCAGATACGTTGAGTTTTTATTTTTTAAATGTTACAGTGTTAAAAATATTTCTGTCTGTATTTTTGTTTGTTTTTTGTGAAGTGATTGCCATCATTTTGTGAACGTATAAATAAAAAAAAAATTTGAAATCAATTTTTTTTTTTTCATTTTTCGCTTTTACACTAGTTAAAAAAAATTGCAATATCGGTTTAGCTTTAGCCACACCATATTTCAAAATATTTAAATAAAAAAAACTCAAACAATAGTTGGCAATAGTGCCACTTTATATGCCTTTTTATTGTTAAGAAATTCTTATTCGTTTTCAAATTTTAACAAAAATAGTTGCTATTTAGCATACAAAGATTTTTACGTAATTTTTTAACACTTTAACAAAAAAAAAATAGGAAAAAAAGCTGTTATTATACATAGTTTAACTCTGTCCGTATGGTTACTTACCAAACGTCTACACCGTTTGATATATAGAAAGCTTAAATTTTATTACGCCTCACTAAGTCCTAAAAATGCCAGTTTTTAAGAAATCACAATTTTTTTTAAATTAAGCAAATACAGAAATGTGGCGACATACTTCTGCTGCCACAGCTACAGCGCGACACAATTGAGTATTAAAAAGACAGCCGTCAAAAGAAACCCTTACCTAAAATAGGTTTTTTTTTCAAATTTTTTATATCGTTCTTCTTGCAGGCAATAAATAATTTATAAGAAAATTTTTTTCTACCTCCATTTCCTCTCATGCCTTTCGAAACCCGTAAAGTTTCAATTACCGGCACCTTATATTTCTGGAAACTGCAAGCTTTTCCAAATTTCTATAACGTTAAATTCCATGGAATCGAAAAGTATAATTATTTAACTTGAATCAACAACTTAACCGTCCAATTCAACTATTACGCTAACGATTCTTTAAATGTTTTTCTTTTGTTCTACCAAAGTATATGCAATCAATTAATATATGAATTTTGCTATGTGAATAAAAGAAATTTAAATAATGAAGTAAACTACCATTAAAAATAATATTATTACTTTATCAAGGGGAAAGTCCTAATTAAGAAATACATTCGAAATAGTTGTGTGAATTTCACACTTTGTCGTTCAATCTCTTAATTTTTCTGTTGATTGGTCTGGATTGTTAGTAAGTTAAGTAATTATTCAGAGTTGAAAATCATGTTTGCATGTTAATTTTTTTTATTTTAATAATATGGATAACTATTTCGAATAATATAAACATCTTTAATTATTATCATCTTATAAATGTCAGAGTGAATCCCCAATTTCGCTGTCGTTCAATCGTTGGTTTTCTTAACGGTAACTATTTCCTTATTTCCATCTGTTATATTGCAAACTGAGATAACTTATATTCTAATACTGTTTTACTTACATTATTGACGTTACGAGTATAAATGAAAATCAGTGAGTGTTGCATAGCAGTTACTCTGCTCTGTATATAAGTAGTAGGAGTATTATGATGCAGCCATCAATTTTCTCTTTAACAAGTGTAAATGGCAAAAAAAATCTGAGTGTTAAAATTTTCCATAATTTTACAAACTTAAATAATAATATTGTGTTATATTAAGTATTTTACACAGAACCACATTTTATTCTACGTATACTTTTACTTTATACTAAATTTATTTTGTTTTATATTTCAGCTAAGGAATCCAGTGAATTTTTCTCTTATTCTTCAACTTTAAAAAAATATAAGGTAAATACATATCTATTAATATTATTAAAACATTTTATATTTTTTATTGGAACAAATAGTTCCAATAAAGAAGTTCTTCATGCTTAGCATACTGACGAAGTTACAGCAAAATTTTCTAATTATATAATTGACAACCCGTCAGTTTAACAACACGGGCTACACTGAATCAAAAATTAAAAAGTTGATGAATGAAATTTTAACTTACATTAAAAATAACAATTGTAATAGTAACAGTAACAAAAAAAAAATATTTTAAATTTTTACAACAATTTTTAACGCAATGAAATCAATGATAAAGTAAGTTTTTTTACTATAATTGCGTCCTTAAATAATTTTTAAACTTACTTGCAGAATAATAACGTTTACCTATACGTTTATGAAAATTGAAATATTCTAAATAAGTGCATATAGAAATATTTATAGAATTTAAAAAACTTTCGTCATGCTGTAAGGAATAAATAAATACCAACATTGATTGCTTTTACAAAACTTTAAATTACATTCATAATTGTCGAAGACTAAAAGCCATAAGAAAATACAAAAAACAAAGAAATAGGAGCAAAGGTGGTTAACAAGGTTGCCATGTTAGTAGTTCTCTTTCAAAAATGGAAATTTTTTTTCTTTGTTAAAAAATTGTTCTTTGAACATCTTCTTTCTTCTCCTTGATTTGTCACAAATTTTGCTGCGGTTGAAAAAAAATTTTGCTATTTATCCAAAATAATCATACACATGTGTATAGTCTTGCCTAAAGAACGAAATTCAAAGAGAATAGAAACACATTATTCGCAATATTTAATCAGAAAAAGGTTATGTGACGGCACCAAATTTAACTTCTTAAGTTTTCACATGTTCTAGGATTATGTATTTCTCGTAATAAAGAGAAAAACGTAATAAATTCTTTTTAATGAAATGCCAGTTTTTTCGTGTATCTCTATTTCAAAATTGAAAGACTTTTCAGGGAAATAGGATTGTGTCTCAACAAAAGGTCAAATTTACATAAGATTTTTGTTTTACTTTGATCACATAACAGCACCTTGTTATTTTGGTAACGTTTTAAATTTCCAAAACGAAAGTGGTTATGGATTAAACGGAAATGAAAATGATTTTTTTTCCTTCCAGTGGCAACACTAGTGATTAACAGAAGCCAAACAAAATTTTTTCCTAATTTGCACCCCCATTCTTCCCAAATTCTTCTTTGTCTCGTGTTTTTCAGATGAACTTTTAAATAACATTTATCTTTCTTTTTCCCCTTCTTAAAAATTTTTCTGGTCTAATTTATATTATTTAAAGTTTAAAAGACTTTAAAAAATATTTTTATTACCATTTTTGCGAGAAAATTATATTGATTTTCTTTCAAATCCATCACCTTTTAATCATTTTTCTTTCTTGCTTTCTTATTATAACAAAACAAAAAAATATGTGAAACTACTCAACCAAATCATCATGGAAATCATCGTAATTGCTTTCTTCTTCTCTTCATTTTAATTTTCTTTCCATATCCTGATCGATTAATTTCCTACCCAAAAAAATGAAGAATTTTTAATAATAACCATTTTTATTTAGCAAATTTCTTTTTATGCTCTTCTCTTGTACAGGTTTACAGGTTCGATGTGGCTGGTAGGCATTTATTATTATGTGTAAATGAATAAGACTTAAATAGTGGAATTACTTTAAAAAAGGAAGAAGAACCAAATTTCTTTTTCTTTTTTTGTTTGTGTTTCTCTTTTGTTTTTATTTTTAAATTACGAAGGTTTATTTCCCAACAGTTTTGTTATCCTTACCGAAGTAATATATATTTAAATTTTTTTCTTCTTCGTTTTTTTATACACATTTTTTTTTAAATCCCTTTCCCATCGCTCACACTACAGAAATAATTCCTTTTTCTTTGTGTTTTATGCTTTTAAAATAACATTTAACGTTGCTTTTGAACTGCCTGTCAGAATATTTTTGTAATTTAGCGAATTTATAAGTCTACAGTCCTTGGATTTTTTTTAAGCAAAATTGAAAAATTAAAGAGCTCTACTTTTTTTTGTTGATTTCACTTTGATTTTGATGAAATTAAAATAACTTCAATAGCAGTTATGAGTTAACTATCATGACATTATGCATTATAGCTGTTAAATTGGCCGACATATGGATATCTACCCTCTTAAAATTTTAATTATTGAAAAAATAATGACCATAATGAATTTTAATTTTGTACATTTTACTTTACTACTCATTGGTTTCCTAAGCTTTGCCGAAGATCTTCAAAGTTTTAACTCCTTTTTTTATATTACCCTTTATTTCTTATAATTTGTCATAGCGAACAAAACTTTTCAATATATATATATATATATATATCTTCTATGTCCAGAATATTATGCTTTTTTCATAGACAATGTAAAGTCTTAGTCTGAAAGACTATGGACATCAAATATTATCTCAAATATTGAAGCAAATCTATATTTGGTGTGCACATTGAAAGCTCTTAAAATAGTTCCTATATGCTGCACTGAATTATGCTTCCATATTCATTAATTCTCATAAATTTGACTATTATAAATACAGCTCGACGTTTTTTAAGTAAACTATAAATTCTAAAGATTTATACCAAAATCCAAAAGCAATGTCTCAAAATAAATTCTAGCTTAAAAAAATTAAAACTAACTGAAAAAAGCCTCACCTTCAAATTCATTTTTCAACATGCTATTACAGAAATACAGAAATAATAATCTACACTCGTGCTAAAAACAATACCTTTAATTTCCATTACTTGTTTTTAAATTTACAAATTACTTAATATATTGCTTCTCTTTTACAAACCTTTTACATTGACAGAAATTTTATTGGAACAAATGTATTATTCTTTATTCTATTGAAAAACTGTTGCTCAAAATTGATTACTTTTTAAATTAATAGAAAACAAGTTATTTGGAAATACCATCGACACACAAAATGTTTTAGAGGTTTTCTTGTCAATTTAATTTTATATAATGTTACAATTTGTATCGGCAATTAATTGAATGTTAAAATATCAAAATGATTTTATATTTTAATATTTTAGTTAATAAAAACAAGAATACAATAATATTTGCCCCAATTTAAAATATAAACTTTCAATAAATTTAAAATTTAAAACAAAATCAAATTATAAATTTCGAAAAACAACGAAACATTCAATCCATTATCTAACATACTTATTATGGCTAAGATGGAACAATTTCTTTATTATTTTAAATTTATCAGAGAAAAAAAACTTTTATACTTTCAAAACATCTTTTGAAACTCTTGGATTCCGCAATCAATCTTTCGAAAACTTCTTTCTAAATCAACAAACTAAATTAATTATAACTTATTAAACAATTATCAGTAACCGGCAAATAAAACATTATCCGTCCTCATACTAAGACTGCTTAATTTCAAGCTTTTTTCAAAATTTCTGCAAAAAAATTAAAAATAACTCACTTTTGTATTCAGGATTGAAAATAATTTATTAGAAGAAAAGAAAAAATACTTAGCGGGAAATTTACACTTTAATAAATTTCTTTTTGTTTTTAGCACTTTTCCAAAAAATTTTTGGAAAAAAGTGCTTATTAGTTTCACTCTGTCCGTTCTACACCCTTAAAGATAGAAAGCTGAAATTATATGTGCATAGATCTTTACTAGAAACTTATTTTCGTAGAAGAAAATTTTTACCTATCTCCATCCCTTTACAAGTTATACCCCCCAAAAACCCTACGAACGGCATTTTTTAACAATTTAGTGCAGTGAAACCATAAACATTTTCCAAATTTTGCAAACGCAGTCAGAAAATAGTGACTGGCTTCTTCTACCGCGGCATATCATTTCTGAATTTTAAAAAAACAAAATGGCCGATAAAACTTACTTTTATATAAAACCCGTTTTTTTCCAAATTTTTGAAGCCATTTTTCATCTACACCGTACGTTACAGGAGTATGCAAATCTCTTTATTTCGTTAGAAGAAAATTTTTTTCCATCTCCACCCCCTTTCAAGTTATCACCTCTCGAAATTTGTAAAATTTGAATATTTAGCACTTTATTTTGTGAAACCGCAAGTTTTTTCAAATTTCTATAAACGCAAAAAGCTATTGGTAAATTCTATGCCATTAAAAAATATAATTATATTCTTAACTCAGACAGTTAACCCTTATGTTAAAATCGAGCATTATGTTAACCCCTCTTTCAGTTAATTTTTGCTTTATTTCAAAGACTGCATAAATCGTTCATCCGAAATATATGCAATCCTAGAAATAGTTTCGTACACATAGATCGTTTTTAAAAAAAGCATTTTTGCTTGTTGAAGGGAAAAGTACTAAAATACAAACCATTGGTTTGACCCAACTTTTTTTGTTTTCCTTCCTAACATTCGAAAACCGAAACAAAAAAAAACATAAAGTACAAATATAGACCCATGTTATTTTAAAGGAAAATATGCTACGGAAGAAATACGAAGAAGCAGAGAAACTGAAAGAACGAAAAAATCAATTTTCGCATAGAACTTTTCTTTTGGGATTTACAAAAAATTTTCTGGGTGTTTTTAATTTACTTGAGGTACGCTAAAAATTTGTTTTTTTAATTGCTAAAAACATACACGTATTTCTTATTATTACACATATTTTGTCTCAAGCAAACTAAACTTACAAACACATTCTATCTATAAGAGATACAGAAATTAAAATTATTAAAAAAAATCAAAAATTAATGTGTGAAGTGTGAGTTTAATGTTTTCTCTAGAAATGGTGTAAAAATGTTAATTAAAGTTTAAACACGAGTGATAATGTGTGCGACTTAAAATTTTTTACATGATCTTAAGTATGGTACTGTGGGTATTACTTTTGTGTTTTGTTTGTTGAATTTGAAAAGGGAAATACAAAAGTATCTTTGAAATGTAATTTTGAAATTTATTTTAAACTAAGTTTATTAGTATTTTAAAACTTGAAGCAATAGAAAATTTAGTTATTTTTTTAATGTTTTAACTCCACGTTTTCGGCTGATAT